TGCAAATTAGGTAAAAAAATTGTAGAGAACTTAATTGATCTTGCCTTATTCGAGTGTGGGTTCAAATAACAAGTAGTAAGAAGACCAAGTGAAGGAACAGCTCTTACCAGTGAATGAACACCCAGTAAAGGAACACTTAATTTTGGTTATTTTTTAATGCTCTTTATGAATTTATAAGCCATATAAATATTAAAAAAAGCCTATTCTTGAAATTATAACATACAAATACTTGGAAAATGTTAACTTTCTTTTGTAATCATGAATTGAAAATTAAAGTGTCAACATATTAACACATACTGCTCATTCACTGGGAAATCTATGCCCAGTAAAGGAACATGAATGCTCCCTCACTGGTTAGAAGTTGTTTTTCGTATTTTTAACAAACTTTTGATGCGGAACATCACTTAAGGTACAAGAAAATTAAAGTTTATCTTTTATTTTCATTTACTTAGAGAAAAAAAACCAGTAAAGGAACACTTGTTCCTTCACTGGTTTTTCATGGTTTGGTGATCCAGTGAATAAACAACCCCTTTATCTCAGGACTTAATTATGCTATGATGCTTAAAAAAAATAAAACGTAACTTCAATAACTATATTTTGAATTGTCTTTTCCACAGTGAAAAAAATAAAACTATTACATGCAATTAATTCCACTTCAAACATATAAATACAAACACTCACCTTTTAATTTTTTCAAAGAAACAAGGTGTTGCAGAGATAATAACTAATTCAAAATTTTTTCCATAGAAGTCTATTTGACCAGGTAATCCAAAACATTGCTAGATGACTTCCTATTGTTTGGCAGTAAGCTATTGTTACCGATCTATCTAAAGAAAGACTTTCAAATTCTTATTTTTAATCAATATATATGAAATGTTCCTTCACTGGATAGTGTTCGTTCACTGGTTGGTTTACCCTACGTACTTATTAATTCGAATAATATAAATTAGGAGCCTTCAACATGTGGCCCACAAAAATATCAGATTCAGTAAAAATATTTTGAAAAAAAAATTACTGTTATTTCAGACTATCCCAGGGAATTTAAGCGTCATGGCTGATACTTCGAAAGAAAGATTGACAGGTTAATGTATTTGAAGATGAGTTAAGACTGGAAGGAAAAATACACAATTAAGTTTCGCATCAACATATTCAGCTTTACTTTAAAGCAGTTTTCACAAAGATTCGCTTTTAGGCTCTCTGCTTGGATGCATATTAAATGAAAGTAAAACAAGGACATACATCATTGTACGTTGTTAAAATCCGATGCGTGTAAAAATATTAACATGATGGTTTTACTTTGGATTATCTATCAAGAAAACTTTACGTCTTTTTCATACTTTGAACGCGTTTTAGATCCAAGAATCACATCGAATCATAATTTGTATTCAGATAATCGCTGTCCGAACACGGTAACTTCTCGCGGCCGTGTAAGATGTGGCTACTGCAATTAATATTGAAGAGCTGAGTTGTGGCTGCATTGTAAATCATTCGGATAAGTTTGCTCTAAGAAGTGTTGTATTGCCACTGACTTAACATTAAAAAAATTTAATTTTGAATGCAACAAAAATACTGTTAAAAATTAAAATTATTTTAAATTGTGTACTGTGAACTAAAACAGTTTGAAAAAGATTTGATGCTGATTTCAATCACAAAAAAACAAATTAATAACCCTTTTTTTTAAAGATAAAACTGCTTTTTTCCTTCTTTTTTGACTTACATTATAATACTTTGTAGTATATACTTAGTAGTTGGCAAAGTATACATATTTTTAACAAATATGTATACTTTGCCAACTACTAAATTTTTTTTCAAATAAATTTTGCTCATTCTAGTAAATTTCTTTATCTTTTAGGCGGGAATTTATTTCTTCCAGATAACAGATCATTACGTAGCGGTCGTTGCCACAATAGTCGTAGCGATCTTTGAAATCAGTACTCTAAGTTGGATTTATGGTAATTGAAAAAAGTCTTTATACTATAGATTGTGATACACCTATTGATTTCACTTTAGTATGTATCATGTTAATTTGAGTTAAAATTAGAAAACACATAGTTAAAGTTAAATTTAATTATTAAAATAGTCTTGATTACAATTTGACATAACATTAAGTAATACAAAGGGGGGAAAGAATCTAGGATTCGCTCACCAGGTGTGTCATCTCGAAACCAGGTCACCTTTTCTCAGCTATGCAAACTTTCTACTGATTCCTAAATGGTTGCAACCCCTACAGCAAGAGGAAACTTTGCCAAACTCACCCTTTGGCTCACTTTATCGATGTTTTTGGCGCACTTACTATTTTGGGACTCCTTGCTCTGCATCAATTGTCGCAGTAATTGATATCTAATTTTTAATTTAAACTCATAGTCCGGGACACCCTGTGTAGTAAATGGTGACTGGTGCACGTTAAGTCTGTCAGTTCACAAAGTCTTCCATGTTCCCATAACATATTATACCTCTGAGGGTACTGGATTGGAGATTGAGCGTTCTCTGGTTCAGGTCAAAATTACGATCTGTGGATGAATGGATGTAGGAATGGATCCATCCTACGGGTGTGACGTATAGGTGTGGCGGAAGTCGAATTCTTGGCTATAGATGGTTCCCCTGGAAAACACGAACAATCGCTCCCTCTCTGCCTTATTAGCAGACGCCAAGAACAACAACAGTTTAGACTTATAGTATTGAACAATAACTTAGATCGTCTGAATATAGACAGACGAATAGCAATTATTGTTGAATCCCCTAAATTAAAATATTGTAATAACTTTATGGGCAAACAAATTTAATGTTTAACATTTACCAATTAATATCCAAAGCTCCTTTTTAAGGATAAACTTTTTTATAGAATAAAATTTGATCTTTAAGAAAAGCAGATGACTAGCAGGGTTGCCAGACTCTGAAAATAAATAATACTACGACTTCATCCGAAAAAATACTACAAAATATTACATGTCTTAAGCGCTATCTACAGGACTTTTTTGAAAGCTTATGCAGACGAAAACTGAGACAGACGATTATTATTATTATAATTAACATTATTTATATCGTCTGGCTAAAGTTTTTTAGAATTATATTTAAATTTATTTTAGTTGAGGATAAAATAATATTATAATTGAAAAACAATTATCCTTTAACAATTATCTTAAAACAATTATTATCCTTTTGTGCAATTATACTTCAGATATACGTGTAGTAACTAATATTTTTATCAGCAACTTTGTCTTTTGAAGAATAAACAAAGAGTTGTGTGTATCATAATAATGTCTCTTGTGTATCATAAATGATTTATTTCAAAGTTGTATAAAATTGAACCTAAATGAAAATATAAAATCTCATATTTTGTTTCACATCCTACATAGAAAAGAAACGTAAAATCTACTTAATCAAAGTGCATAAGAAACAATTTATATTATAGTTTACTAGTATAAACGAACTTTTACTTTTCACAATAATCACTAGATACAGTGACTAATAAAAAATAAACTGTTGGATTATTTCAAAAATTGTTTTTTACTTCAAAACTAGAGTGAAACTTTTCGTTGTTTTAGGAAATGAAAATAAAATAAATAAATAAAAATAAAATAAAAATACCACATTTTTAAAAAAATACTACGAAAAATACCATACCCCTTTTTTGTGAAAATATACTACCCTAGTATTAAAAATACTACGTCTGGCTTGACTAGCTTTTCTTTTAACATTTGCTTGACAAACTAATATGAAAACACTTTTATTCTAAGAATCGTTCTTTTTAGCAGCAAATGTTTTGTCAGATGGCAAAATTGTAACCACAATTTGAAAGAACATGCTTTTAGAAATGATTTCATTTTAACCATGAAAAATTCCGAGCGACCAAAATGAGGAAGTAAATAACTTCTTTTTAACTTTAATACTGCTAGCAATTTTTGAAATCAGTCGCTACTTTCGCAATATTTATATTAGAATGCTTCTTTGATTATAGAGGTATCGAAAGTGGAAATCAGCTTTGAATTTCTTATGCTCATGTTAGTCGATGCAATACAAATTTCGCATGGATAAAAAAAGACACCATTTCTAAAAGCATCAAACATCACAATTTAAAAGCATCAAGCATCAATCATCACAATTTTTGCCAATGAAAGAATAATTGCTTAGATGGAGTTAGTATGGAAGTGCCTCCATAAATTTGTTCAAACCCTTCTATTCCAGCCGTGAGGGCTCAGGAGATAGAGTGTTCGCCTTTCAATGAGGTGAACCGGGTTCGAATCCCAGCGATGATGGGTCGATACAAATTTCGCATACGGCTTGTACCGACCACAGTGCTGACGTTAAATATTCTCAGTGGTAGACGGATCATGGGTTAGAGTTCCCTTGCCGTCTGTCTGGCTTACCGTGGGAGGTTCTCATGGTCGTCCTCTCCGTGTACGCAATAGCGACTTAGTTCCATCAAAAGCAATCCACGAAGGCATATTTCTCCTAATACTTGTCTTCTGGATTGTGTTCAAAATGACAAGGCTACGGAGTTGAACATTAGTAGTCGTAAACCCAAAATTGGGTAGGCTGTTCAACGACTAACAATAAAATAATGTCGAAGATCATGCAGTTTCAACAGAAATGATTTTTAAAAAAAACTTGTATTCATTGTAGGAGCAAAGAACTTGGCTAACTGCATACAACAGATGACTGGAAAAACAGCTTCCTATTTTTACCAGTTTGCTTGGATTATACTGACACCTGTTACTATTTTGGTAAGGAGTATTCTTGCACTAGAAAACTCTTTCTTGATTTTTTTATAATGCGGAACGTTTGGAGATAAATATCACGAGAGTACAATTTTTATTTTTAATTTGATTAAGATTTTTTTAATTGATCTTAGATATTTTCGTGGCGCTAATTTCAATTTTGTAATCATTTTTTCCCTTCAAACTGTAGTTTTATGCAATTTATTATTTTGTCATAACCAGGATTTTTTCAAATTCACTCAAATGAATACAAAGTGTCCCAACTTCTCTGCTACGTAGGGAATGGTTGGAAGAATGCATTTCTGTTTATGATACGATACGTTAATGTTTGTATGTTTTTTTGTCTAAAATATTATTTTCAAGGGGTCAGAAAAGTGTATATGCAGGCATGCACTAAGCATTAGCCACCTCAAAGGCGATGCGATGGCGAATAAAATTGTGTTTTGGCGAAAGTATTAGCGAATGATTTTTTTCCACTGGAAAGAAAAATTTATATTAGCTCGATCCTCAAAATTAAGTCAAAAAGAATTTTTCTAAACAAATCAGTATTTTTTATTCGATTACAGTAATTTTCGGTAGATGAGCGGCATTACCAACTAGAATTGGGTCCAAATAATATACGCCTGAAACTAACTACCGTAAAATAGTTTTCTATGGGAAAAAATTAATCATAAAAAAATTATTAAGATTTAGAAGATTTTTGAAAATTGGCGAATGCTGAAATTGGAGATTCGGCAAAATTTTTGAAAATTGGCGAATGGGGTTAATTTACTGGCTAATAATTTGAAATCCTTAGAAACACAACCTCAGCTTCTGCTTGTAGTCCAATCACGTATTGTCTATTAATTATATTTGTATACAACAGGGTATAATTAAAAATGAACATAACTGTTTAATAAAAAAGAATTTATTGATAAAATTTACAGAGCGTGTAGAAGGAACTGCAAAATTTTGTATACAAGCTTCACAGATTTACTATGTGAATTCCTTTGGTGACACGGACAACATCCAGGCTGTAGTCCATTTCACGTCATACATTCTGAAACTTTTGTGCCGTCACCAACGTTACAAATTTCGTTCTTTGAGTTCTTTAATTGTTTAAACATCGTTCTTTCTTCAAACATCCTATGCCATCTGCGCATGTTGTTCCCATATGGAGATTCATGATTGTAACGCTGACGAAATCTACTCTGCACTGTGATGACAGAATGACAATGTTAAATTTTAACACACAGAATGCTTTCTGCACGGAATACGCCATTTTCACTCATGAACTTACGCATGTGCAGATGATCGTTTCACTGCTCCAACTATATTCTATGTTAATCCTATCGATAAATTTTTTTTCATTAAATAGTTATAGCTGTATGTAATAGTTATATTCATTTTGAATTACCTTATATTTTTGAGATATTAGAAATGCTAACGAAAGTTTTTCGTGCAGGCCACCGTGTTCTACAGTGCAAGCGATATTGGTGGAACTGTTGTGAAGAGAGGGTACACGTACCCCAACTGGGCTCACGTGATGGGATGGATGCTCTTCTCTCTCACACTTTGCTGGATACCCTTCTTAGCCATTGCAGCCTACCGAAAAGCCCCCGCATCTCACTTCATAAGTGTAAGTTCAAGCTTCACTTACTCCGTGTAAGGTGTTCTCCAATCACCTTCCTTAAGTTATGTTTTTAAAATCGTGGCCAGAAATGCAGATGATTAAATGTACTCATTCAAAATCTCAAACTAATATTTAAGAGGATAGAACATATTTAAAAAATGTAACAGTATGGTAAACCACTATCGAAGATACAGGAGTATTAAAAAAAAATTAAAACCAATTTGATCGCCAAATGAAACTTGAAGGTGTTAAAACACTCCCCTCACACATCTTTTCTGTCTGTTTCGGTAATTAAACATGTTTTAATGTTTCCTTACTTTTCTCATTCGTGATTCTTTAGGCTTTAAAAATGTCTCTGGTTGTTTCTTTTTCAAAAAAATATTAATTTACGCCCTCTCATGTGGCACATATTTTTTTATTGCCTGTCTCATTAGTTAATCTCGACAACAAAGGGAGATGGAGAAATGAAAACAAATGCTACGTTTCCTATGATAGCTGTAATTTTATACAGAAATTTTGACACAAATTGTTTAGTTGCAAAAGTTGCCAATAGATGACGCTACAAAAACCTTGTGTTCTATGGATAGTTGACGGTGTAAAGCAAAGCACAGCTGGAGCTAGCAGTTAATATTTGTCGTAAGACTTCAAGGTCACTATACTTTCGATTGAATTTTACGTCTGAGTTTGAAAAAGCGGGCTATCCAATATTATTATACTTGTAGTACTTACATTATCCGCGTTCTTTTAATTTAAATTTCAACGAAGCGTATAACAAATGAATTTGGAAAACTCCACAAGTACGCTATGATTCTATCCAAAATATAACAAACAGCGATATTGTACACTAATATAACCAAATAAAGGATAACACTCAAATCATGGCAAACCTTACACTTTATTTATGTTGTGATATTAATTTTCTTAAATACTTTTAAGCCCTCCCCCCCCCACCTGCTAGAATTTATAAATGACAGAAAACTCTTATGAATGGTAAAATTATGCGTATATTTAAACTTAAATCAAAATAATAAAAAGTTCTTAGAATATTAAGTCTGTTCACACATCACCTCGTAAGCATAACAAAAAATGAAGAATACGCCGGAAGTTTTCCACATTTCTTTCGGTTTTAAGATTATTGTTTACATTCAGTCAATCATCCATTGAACGTCGATATCACAGTCCTATTATAGTCCTACGGCATTTGTATTCTTTACAAGAACTCTGAACTGCGCCATCTGTTAATAAACTTTGTAACTAAAACTGGAAATTTATGCATCAAATTTTTACAGTTTTCACAATAAACATATAGTATTTATTCCATTCTCTTATCAGTCCATCATTACGATATTTTTAATTTTATAATTAGTCAATCCTCCACAAGGCATTATGTTATATATGAATATAGACGATATAAAAAAATGCCCATTCCAAACACAAAAATTTATATATAAGAAGCAAGAGAGGAAATAAGAAAAGATTTTTTTTTTAAATAATAATAATAATTTAAAAATATATAATTTTTGACTTATTATTGATCAGTTATCAAATTTTAAAAGAATTAAAAGTTAGCATTATAATTGCATCCAGCTACAACCAATAGAAAAATCTCCAAAAAAGAGAACGGGGCGTTAAAAACCCCTGGATTGCAAGTTAACAAGCGGGAAAAGTTTTTTGAATATTCTATACTTTCGCAAGAACTAAAGTGATAAACAAGTTAATTAACATTTCAAAATTCATTATACAATAGATGCCGAGCCTCAAGTCTTTGCCCTTCCCACATGTGAAATATGAATAAGTGGTAACGTATCACCTATTAAAGTTGTTGTTGTTGTCATAGGCCATTGAGGGTGCGGTTGCTCTTGTTTTCCAGTGGCGCCATCTCTGGTCTATAATTCGACTTCTGTCACACCCGAATATGCTACTAATAATATCCTACTTGTAAACTGTGGAGACTGCATTTCCAAGATGTCTTCACCACAAATATCGATGAATATACCGGCCAAGACCCGAATTTAAATATCGCGATATTTTTCTTAATTAGCTAATTATTTTTTCATAGGCAAATTTCCGTTGCCCGAATAAAATGTATCAATGCTCGCAATTTTGAAATAGCTCGCAATCATTATACAATAGTCGCGATTTTATTTTTGTGATATGTTATGATATCTATAATGATTGCGATTTTGAGAATATTTGATACCCATTTATATTATCGGTAGCCAGTGATTTATGTAGTAAAACGAAATCTGGCGTTGTTAACAAATTTTCCTTTCTAGTTCCTATAAGCAATGAGTACCATTAAAAAGAAATCTTATTTAGTTTCATTTAGCCTCTCTTTACAGTTTAGCTTCCCAATCAAATGATTTTATATAATGTGTTTACTTTAATTACTTATCAAAATCATTATAAATTAAATCTATTAAACCAAAATAAAACTGTAAATTGGAACATTTTAGTAGAGTTATTTACTATATATCTGATTACCAACCTTTGGTAGTTCTGCGTAAAATTTCATTTTTATATTTTCTAACTTATAAATTTTATTTAAAAAATGAGTTTGATTTTTGATTACCAAACTCACATGAATACATATGTTTTACGGTCTATGTGAATAGTCGGTTATTATTAATACTAAACGGTCAATATTTATAATAACCAAATAAGCTTATTACAGTGAACGATTTAGGCTCATTTATCACATTAACAGATTATTATTAATAATAACCAAATAAGTTTGGTCAATGTCATTCTTTCGCGTTTTTATTAGGGATAATTCCGTATCGTGATCTGCCACGCCAACTACAATCGCCAAGGCTCCAAATTGATTTTAAACTGGAAAAATTTAAGGAAAAAAAATAAAACTTGCAGATGTTTGCCAAGGGGTGGCTACGAGTTATATCCTTCAAGTTGGTCCCTTTCAGCGATGTTTTTTTTTTTTTTTTTTAGGTTTCTCGACGGCTGCTGCCCGGAACTTGCCACGACTTGAGGATAATTCTGCCACAGATCACGATACGGAAATCTCCCCTTTTCGTTTCTTACTTAGACCAAAAGAAGTTGTTATTATTTATTTTGACCGATTAGTATTAATAAGAACCGGATTTATCACTTTAACCGTAACACATATACAGAGAGGCACACCCATGTCCCAATGCTGTATAAACCGTTTCATCACATTGACTTCATTGGTTACTATTAATAATAACCGGTAAAAGTGAATAATTTACGATATTTCTCACTTTAACAAAAAGAGGCGGTTATTATTACAATTTAGTCTTAATAATATAACCGTAACATTTATATAATTCAATTTTTATTTTATTACCGCACAGGGAAAATCATAAAGATAAAAAGATGTCAGGTATATGTGTTACATGGATATAAAAAAAAGTATAGAGGAAAAAAAAAAGAAATTGGAAGGCCTATTAAAAAATAAATAAAAAGTCTTAACATCAGCCCGTAATCAAATTTATATGTTTTCATTCGCTTTTATTGCTTTTAGATTGCCTCCTATTGTTGTTAATCATTTCAACTCTTGCGCAATCGTACGATATTCAGAAAACACCTTTTCCGGGTTAGAAGGCACCTCTGATGACGACTAATCCTTTTCTGTTCTTTACATGTGCATTCGTTTTTCTCTTGTGAATTGGGCTTATTTTATTTCGTTTTTTTTTTCTTACTTACTTGGATGCTCCGTTCCTACTCACTAACAACCCCCGAGATTGTTGACGCAGTTCCTTTCAGATATTAAATACCCTACCAAAAATTTTACCTTCGCTACAGTGTGACTCAATACGAATACTATAAAATCTTGCACCGAGGGACCAATATTGATATGCCTAAATTTTTTTAATATTGGTTCTACAAAACCGTGGTGGCTCAGGGGATAGAACGTTCGCCTTCCAATAAGGTGAACCGGGTTCTAATCTTGGCGATGGCTGGTCGATTTGAATTCCACACCTGGCTTGCACTGACGACAGTGCTCCCTTAAAAATATCCTCAGTGCTAGACGGATCATGAGTTAGAGTCCCCTTGCTGTCAGGCTAACCGTGTGAGGTTTTCCTCTCCATGTTACTCAAATGCGGGTTAGTTCCACCAAAAAGTTCACCACGTAGATAAATTTCTCCCCATACTTGATCCAGGAGCTCCCTTGCCTTCCGGATTGGATTCAAACTTACAAGGCTACGGAGCAGAACATTTAGTCGTAAACTCAAAAAATGAGTTAACTGTTCAACGTCGGTTATAAAATAAAACATAGTTCCTAGAAAAGGCCTATATAGAGCCAATATAAGTCCTATATTGGCTGAATAATGAATATAAAATATCGGGTGAACCGGACAATTCTATATCGGGTCAATATCAGAAAAATAATGGCCCTTATTGAGTCGAGATTCGTGAATATTGGTTCAATAAGAGCCCCAAGTTATTTTGCTGCTTGGGTACTCGCTTCCCTCGTTCTTTTCCACTAAGTCTTGTTTAATAACCCGCTTTTGTATCTAATATTTTTAATACTTTGGTTTCGTTAAATTTCAACCTTCGAACTCTGCTTTTTATTCCTCACCGATTTTTGGTTATGTTTTCTCAGTTCTTTTCTATTTCCTTTGCTAGCTTTCTTCACCTCTCCCAACCTATATTTTACTTAATAACCGTCGTTCAACAGCAGATTACGACTGCTAATGTTCAACTCCGTAGCACTAAAATTTTGAACACACGACGATATGGCGCTCGTGCTTGCCCACGGACTCGGTAGGGCATCTAGCTTGATATATGAAATCTACACGAGCCCGAACTATTAAGTAGCTCGGAGAGATCACTCCTAGATAAAAGTTGAAAGATTTACGTCACCTTAGAAATCAATTTCTTTTTGTAGTTTAATTTAGTTTAGTCACTGGGCTATATTAGAATTAAAACACACACATAGTCAAGCTTAATATATTAACATTGATTTGTGTGACTAATTATATTTTTCATTGCAGAGGTTCATGTCTACAATTCAGCCAAACATTCGTAGCCAGTCAGGATTTTGGGAGCCAAAACCCGTCATCATACTCAACGGTTCAACGGTTACATCTTCAGAGTTTCCAGACTACAAGTTGCCCGAGCTACCATCTGTTCAGAACGCTGTGCAAAATTACGTGGAAAAACATTCCATTCTTCATAATAAAGCAGAGACTAATTTTTAAAGAAAATTATTTAAAAGTATATACACGGTATTCCGTAATGACCGCTTTTAATATGTATTTTTCGAATCTTTGTACAAAACATTCGGAATTATGCTCATTTAGAGATTACAATTAAGTGAGAATAAAAAATATTTCCATGATCAATCAATATTGAATGGTCTCAGCAGATGTCAATACACTTGCCTGCCTTCTGAAAATTCATCAATGATTGCTAGTAACAACCAATAGGAATAAATTTCCATTGGAATACGAATAAGAGTCATCTAATAGAAATGGTGTTAGCAACCAGTTGCCATTCACAACTATAAAATAACTGTATCGGATTGAATTTATTAGTCAAGTGAACAATGGGATACCTGCAAGTGACGTAGCTTGGGTATCTCGATCCTGATTGGTTGTTGAAACGAGGCATTTGTTTACGTCAGCAACTGTTCTTTCCATTCGATTTCGAGTTAGCCAAAGCTTTCAAGTATCAATTCTCTTGAGTGATACATTATGACTTCTTTCACAAAGATTCTTTCTCAAATATATAAATTCTTTCACTATATATTTACACAAAGACTTAACACAAAGACAGGCACGAAGCCATATGGAACATAAATAAGCTAATTATACATCGAAGTTGCCAGGTACACAAAACAAAAATATATCACAGTTACAATAAAATGCATAAACAAATAATAAATCTAAATTAAGTAAAGGATGTAAACGAGAAAGAATTATATTTCAAGAAGTTCTATGCGTGATACGGCACCGTATTTAATTAATTTCACGTTATTTAGCATTCTAACTTATGTGGAGAAACTTAGTTCAACTTTAACACGCCATTTTGTTTAGAAAAGATCAGCTGGTGCTGACGTCGTAGGTCACATGTGTGGGTATCTGTAATCGTCTTCGTCTTGAAGTGCGAGTCCCCAATTATTAGTCAAATTTTTAAGGAGAAATACATATTTATGGAAAATATCAATTTATATGTGCAACGAAAATTTCTTTTTATTCCCGCCTTTTTTTTAAGATATATTTCTTTTATTTGGTTCTCCATCAATGAAATACATTTACCTGAGAAAAATTCGCCAATCAGGCTCTTATAGACAGGAATAATGAAATTTTTCGTTAGCAGCCAGTGACCGGTAGACTTTAATAACTTAGTTAGTCACTTTTTCCTCAAACCTAATGAGTCGGGTGACCAATAGCGATAGGTTCTATTCACTTAATAGCCACTTTTGATTTTGTTTGTNTTTTTTTTTTTTTTTGTGCTTAAATTAAATTATATATATATTTTTTTTTATTAAAAAAGTCCATACTAGAAATTATCCAAGCCTATAAAAAGATTTTAAATTAGAAATAACTTAACACCAAGGAAAATAACGTTTTAAATAAAATAAAAAACAATGTAGGATTTATGTGGCATATAATAGTATAAACAACTCAATAAAAGCTTTTAAAAGCTAATTATTTATTAAAATGCACGGTTATTTAACTTTTTTTTAAATTTTAATAGCTACTTAGAATAGTCAAGATCAATTTTAAAAGTAAGAAAAAAGAATATATTCACATACTTTTGAGATTCGGACTCATAAAATTACTTTGTGTTATTTCTGTCCGACTTCCTGTTAATTGTATCTTTCTTTTATTGTTCTCAAAATGGGTTGATCTTAGTTAAAAAATCATTTTTGTTCTTACTACATTTTGCTTTTCGTTGAAATAACGCCTAATGCGCTTAGTTTTCTCATTTTTACAAAGATTCCAAAGATGCACGTTAAGAGCGATCGTAACAAAACACCCTGTAGACTCTTTTACTTCAATGCAATTTGTCACCTATGAGATTTCGCCTAACTATATCATTTTATACATACTGTTCCATTCATAACATACTATGTAATCATAGCGTAGATATGTGATGTTTAATTATGTTTGTATATGTGCCATACGTTTTTATACATGTTTATGAAGGAATATGATTATAATAAAAAATTCAATCATACGACGAATCATTATTTTATTTATTTCAGTGCTTAAAAATGTGATTAACCTTTTGTAATACTTTTCAAATTGACATATTTTTTAGGCGGGAAATGACGATGATCTGGGGGGGGGGAATTAAATGTACTCTTGACTAACGGTTCCCAATCTCTTTTGATACTAAATGATCGTCCTTCATTTGGCGTAACCCCCGAGACTTAATGAATAAATTTTATTAGCAATTATTGTATTGAATGTATTAATTAACAAAAGACAATTACGAGGGTTGTTTTTTAAGTATAAAGACCGTTTAAAATTAAAACCCAAACGAAAGAAACTTTTCAAGAAGCAAATCTGTTTTCATATTCTACATACGTTTCTCTTTCTTTTCAGCATAACTGCTAAATTTGTTTAAACATTTATCATAACTTACAACTCAACTAGATTCAGAATACTCTCTTCATATAAACTTGTCATCTGTTTCGTTAATCAACGACCGTTTTCGCGCATTCTTCATCGTTAAAGTGATTACCGCCAAAATGATGTTTGAAATATCGGAAAAAAATGAAAATTACTCAGCGCAAGGTCTGGGCTGTAGGGAGGGGTGGTCCAAAACTTTCCCACCAAAAGAGTCCAATAAAGTTGGAATCTGAGCTACGGAGAGAGTCAATGTCATAGAGAAGCGAAATTCCCTCTCAGTATAATAGGGAATTTTACTACTTCTCTAATCGCAACTTCCACAAATCTGCCACTGACTGTATGCAGCAGACAGGTTTTTTGTTCACTAAAAGCGCATCATTGACTGTATCTCATGCGTGGTTGAACATTTTAAAGACAATGAATTGACCGTACAGTTACACAGCTGCAACTGAGCACAGTTGTTTTGTGTTTCCGAGGAATTCTGGGACACACGACACAAGCACTCGTTGCGACGCACGCGTCACCTATTTGTGTACACAACAAAACGGCCCTTACTTAATAAACAATCCTAGTAATTATTTTGAAAATATTTTATGATCTAAATTATATGAATTATTTTGAAAATATAATATGCAACGATCAAAGTTTTTTTTAATTGTTTTAAAAATATTTAGTGAATGAATGAAGAAGGAAATGTGTTCATCATATCGTTGGATTTATGTTGCACAGTTGAATTGACAGGTCTGGAGCGGCACCTACTCTAGTTTTTAATTTGATTTCAATACATGTATGAATTGAAAATGAATGAGCTGCAGTATGGTTTTCATTAAAATAAAAACGAAATCGAAATAAACGTTGAGAATGGTTACCAGAGAAATACGCATCATTCATTGTTGAATTTCATTCGATGTGGAAAAACAACGGAAACATTAAATAAATATTGGGTTATTAATTGGATATAACTCTAATTACAAGTTTCGAAAATCATAACTGGTTTAAAAAAATCCGAAACGTCGGAGTAACCGAGACCCTTCCACGGAACCAAAAGTTACGCGAAACACCATATTAGGAACTGCTGCTCGGTTGGTGAAACGTTTTCCATTGGCGATCGACAGGGAACGTCGAAAAGAACTCTTTATCTATGGCAACACTTCGCTTGCTTTTCACAGTAGCGTGTGGAGAGTCTTAGGAGAAGGAAGTACGTTAGATTTTATTTTGATTTTCATATAGATTAAAAACTTTTAAATTAGGAAACTATATGGAACTTGAATTGAGCAAGTTGTAAAAAATAATTTTTTTAAACAAGTATAATTGCGAAAAATATCGTACTACATTTCTAAAGGCGATTGCGACGCTCGAACATGTCAACTGGGGAGAAGACCGGTTCCATGTCTTTGGTCCTTACTTACCTTAACTTGCCTCCTCTTTTCAGTTGTGAAGCACATGGAGGGCCAAGGCCTACTGTGCCTATGCCCAGTTTTCTTGATCGTGGGTGCTGGGGTTCAGTGCAAATGTTTCGATTAGGTTGTCAGCCAAACTCAGAACACCCAGTGTTTAGTCACGGAACAAGCTTTATCATCCCACTGAAGGGATAAAAACTGAATCAACTTCGTCCGGTTCAAGGACGGAACCCAGGATCCGTGGCAAAGCGCTACCATTCAGGCATCGGTACTCAGCGTGCAAATTTACAATATTTCATCATTTGTAACATAGTTTGGGTGCGCTTCGTCTACAACATAAATTTCTATAGTAACACAAGACATAAATTTCCAATTTCACTAGTCCCCTGCGTGCTGGAAAATCTTCTAATGGGCGCCAAAAATCGTAGTTTTTTTTAAATCTTCCTTTGATAGCTGTTTTTTTTTTTTTTGCCTTCAGTGAATTTAATGGGATAAAGGTAATATAGAATAAATTTCTTGCGTGTCATAGGTTTGTTATGTTAATTATAGAGGCAATTCATTTTCCATGAAGTGGTGACCATACATGGCAGTACTTTTACTTTCGTTACTTGTACCGCCGGTACAAGTAAAGAGTACGTACTTCTACTTGTACTTCGTTACTTTTTAAATTTAGTACTTTTCCTTGTACTTTCGTTACTTTTTTAGGAAAAAAGTAAAAGTATTTGTAACGGAAATATCAATTGAAAGCGTTACTTTTTTCTAAAACTCGGTAAGCTTTCTTAAAAAAAAAAAAAAAAAAGCTGTGTGTTTGTGGTTACTCTAGTCGATAGCTCTAGGTTTATTTCGTAAATAAGAAGAACACTGGTTTGCAATGGACTGTATATCTCTTTATTTTAAATAGCTCACGGACTACGTCCGCCATTTATGAAGTTCTCAAGGTATATATAAATCTTTCACAAAAAAGGGTGGCGCGGCAGTCGCACATGCGCGAACATGCCGCCCGGCATTGCAATGTTTCAACATTCAATTAATATGTAATTTAACAAAGCACAATTTGCATTATTTAAAAAATCTTTACAAAGCATTTAGATGATAATTAGTAACACTGATACAAATAAGAAAAAACAAATTAATGATACTTTACACTGCAACCGATCTTCTCATACAACAAATATTCAATTCAAAATAAAATTAAACATGAGAATATTTTTATGATACAGGTAACAAGCATATTTTAGAAATAGACCTCTTAAGGGTCCCGTGCTGGGTTTTCACTTCTACAACTCTGATTTTCTTATCAGTGCCGTAAAACACTTTAATTATTCTACCCATTAACCATTTATTAGCTGGTAAATTATCCTCAATAATTAAGACTAGACTACCGATTTTGACATTGTCCTTTTCGAATCTCCACTTGCCACGTTGCTGCAGTTCACTTAGGTAGCTTCGTTGCCACTTTCTCCAAATTAATTGTACTAATTTGGTTATTCTTTGCCACCTGGATAACCTATTTTCCTTTAAATTTGTCAAATCCGGTTCAATTATGGCGTTCATTGTTCTCCCTATCAGGAAATGCGCAGGAGTTAAAACTTCTAAGTCGGTTTCATCCGCGGATAGTGGAGTTATCGGTCTACTATTCAAAATGCTTTCAATTTGAGTGGCTATAGTATGCAATTCTTCGTAAGTTAAAGAGGCATTACCTACAGCTCTTTTAAAATGGTATTTAAACGACTTAATTGCTGCCTCCCAGAGACCACCAAAGTTGGGGGCTCTAGG